AATGTTTTGTCTGTTTTTGTCCGTCCTACGTTTTGTCCGTTTTAAAAATATAGGTTACCGAACGGACACAAAACATGATTCCCCAGCCAAGCATGTGTTACGATACAAATGTACTTGACTATACATTTAAGGTGCAGTGTACTAGTGATATTATGGTATGTTTGAAGACCGGACCACAAAATATAACCCGGTACCTAGTGTTGTTAGTTGTACTAATACATAATAACAAGTAACATGGATAGAATCAATGAGCAGAAACAATCGATCTCACAAGAGACCAAGTCCAAAGCACTCGGGTCTGGGAGTACATGATAACTCCAACTAGTAGTGAGCATACTAGCCCCTGCAGTGGAAATACACATAAAACATACTATTGGAATGTCCAATTGTTTCGTTTTCATATAGCATACATAGCATATGTAGGGGTTCTGGTTAAATTATGTCACTTCTGAGAGCTTTTAGAGATTGATTCAGTAAATTTCTCAATTTTCCGATTTTGGCCTCATCAACCCTCATATCGGACATCGGGTTGGACCCCCCCCCCCCCCCCCCACACCTTGCTGTTTAACTTGAATTCAATGGGTGACGAAATAAAACTAACAGTTAAGGTAGAATAACTTTAGTTTTTATGTTGGGAACGTATCTTGTACGTGATAACTATTCGAACTGCTGGCGATTTAATCAAACATACCAACAGTACATAAAAATTATTACGCAGAGGAAAAAATACTCTAACATTTTAGATTGAACACAAAAAGCAAAGCCAATAGTGAAGCTTAAGTTTCAAGAGTGTTCTTCAGAAAATTGTGCAGCTCCAAGAACTAGAGTATGGGGCTGTGCAGTGTGCATGGTCTTCAATCACTGTGTCCCTTTTTTAGAACCAGTGGATATTTCATAACAGTACAAGAGGCCGGATGTTACTAGAATGAATAATTAATCAGACCTAAATTGATCTTGATCGAAGACTAAACCCGGTAATGGGGGGGGGGGTGTAACCAAAAAAAACCCAATCCCAGTATTACCTTTTTCAGGGTAGGAGTTGGGTTTTTTTGGGTTTTTTACAAATTTTTCATTTGAAGGAAATAAAATCATGTAGGCACCTAGCAAAACAATTATCAGTACAACATCACTGTTGTGGTTCATCACTACAACATCACAATAGATATAATCGCTTAAATATCACCCAAAAACAGTATTTTATTCACTGATGTGCTCAGAAGAAGTTGGCCATCCAGATATGATATATCAGCCATATGTAATGCTCACTTCGATGGCCATGGCAAATTGAGTTAGTAGGGACGCAACTCACTGATGACCCCAACCCTGACCGCAACCGGTACGAGAGGAATAAAGCCTTTCTTCTCACCTTCACGATCTCTGTTTCCGTTTTCCTGATCATCCGCTTAACGAGAAACCATGCTCTATCTCCAACTGAAAGAATCTTGCAGTTACCATCAGCTGCATGATCACATGTGATATTAAGTGATATCTCGCTTGTTTATGGCCCTGTAGTCGCTAAAATCTTGACTGGGATGGCATTCGATCTCGCCCTCCATTGAGGCAAACCTTAACAGCCTTATCATGATGCAGAGCATCACAATACACAGTTACTATTTTCGCCCATTCCTCTGATGAGTCAATATCCTCCACGACCACTTCCTCTTCTTCGTCATCTGTTTCCGCTTCGTCACTCTCTGCTCCGTCAGAAGATGGTTGGAAAGCCTCTCCTTCAAGTTACAGTGTTCTTGAAGGAGTTCTCTACCCTTGAGACTCCCTTCTTCATAGCTTGTAACAATCTTGGGATTGACGTATCTTTACCTCTAAATGGTATCTGCTTTCGGATGCGGTATAACAAGCTTGTTGCGAGGGTGGGCAACTGTTACAGGGATCAAACTTTTGCCGAGTGCATCAAGCTCGAGGGAACGCGAACGGTTTGATTTGCCCATGCCAACCAACATATCCTTAGAACACAGATTAGTTCTAATGCCTGCATGGAGGCCTATGCGCAGGAAAGCATAAAGTTTGCTCGCAGGCATCGGATGTAAACAGCCAGGGCATTAAGTGTTGATAACTGTTGTCAGCTGTTACACTGAGAATGTACAGCATCAGACCCTCGACTGTAATAATCGCATCGTCAAAATTTTTACAAGTAGGCAGGTGGTCTTTCAATGGTTGTGCGAAGCTTAGGTGGCCCAAGGCGTCACCGCTGGATAGAAGCTGGGTGGAAGCCCTGGTCTGATGTGAGGCTCCCAGAACTTTGAAAAGGGGTATCCTGCTGGTGCCCTCTTCCAGACACTCATCGGACAGCATGACGAAAGCCACTACCTCCGCGTGCTGAAGACTGGATACTGGACAGGGGGTCCAGGCTAAAGGCAGGACGATCGACGGGAGACATTGAGCCCCGGAAGTTCAATAATTTGATCTATTGACTCCTTAAAGCCTTAACTCTTGGTCTACAAGAAGCTTTGAGACTCGTAAATCTTTACTGTGGATTGCACAGTAGCTAAAGAGGTGTTGGCTGTTACCCTGTTCAACCTAGTCTACTATGACCCAGCTAGACTGGACCACACTCTGGTAGTCAGGATACGGCTCCCTATGCCCGGGGTACCGGGTAACGAGGTAGTCAGGGGAAGGGTTAGTCCCCGCTAAAGTGTAGCTCTGTTCTCACTCTAACCTCCTTATGCTTTGGGATAAAATCGGAAAGTCCCACACTGGAGCAGGTGACGATTCACGATTGGGTAAGGATTACAACTGATGCTGTTGGGTAGAAAAAGGAAGTGTCACATTTGTCTTGTATAGCATATTATGTTCGTGCAATTACATGCTCAAGATACCCAAGATAGTATGGTGAGAGTTAAAGATGGCTATTGTTCAAGCAGATGCCCTTAACCTTTTAGTGGTGCAAGAGTTAAGAACACAATCCACTGCCAATGTGCAGGGGACTGCACAGGATTGTGAGCCAACTGAAAAGTCAAGATGAAGTTTATCAACAGCTTAAGGGTTAAAGCCCCTATTTTTCTAGTGGAAGTGGTTGCCGGGGTAATTACGCTGCTATTACAGAAGCTGATGACTCGGTCTCCACATCACGACAACCTATTTCTACAGAAAGTCAAACAAGAAAACATCAAAAAAATATGAACATCAATTGTATTGTATCATGTAAAAGGACTGCTAAGGTTGGCACATTTAACATAAGAACAGCCAGAGAACAGCACAAAGGCATCGAACTTGCAGAACTATTTTCTCGAAGCAAGCTGCACATCCTTGGCCTGCAAGAATCGAACATCGGGTAGTGCATGCTGATTGCTGAGAATACCAGAATAGAAAAGATGAACAAAGGGATTCATCCAGTGATATCATCTACGTGGAGAAACGCAGCTGGCGCTACAGTCCTACAGAAGCCTCATCTGATGAGGAGGCATGAAATCTTTTTTGTCTAAAACCAAGCATCTTACAGTTAATTTAGTAGGAGAGGAGCCACACACAATAATTTCTAAGGACGGACATGCCTTAGAAGTTGAGGATTTTAGTACAACGGAGCACGACTTTAGGTTACGCAAGGCCAAGGCATGGGCTGCCTACCACAAAATGTAGGCTATATGGAGGTCCAATTTGCGCCGAGATTTAAAGATCCGTCTGTTCAAGCTACGGTTGAATCAATCTTCCTGTATGGAACGAAAACGTGGACAATAACAGAATCTTTGAAGAAAAGAATAGACGGATGTTACAGTAGAATGCTTCGGATGGCCCTAAACGTGGACTGGAGAGGACATCGCACCAACAAGGAGGTCTTTGGATCACTCCCAAGAGTTATTTCGAAGATACAGGCCAGAAGAATGAGGTTGGCTGGGCACATCCAGCGACATGATGACCTGGCAGCACACCAACTTCTCCTTTGGGAACCTAGGGAGGGGCTCCGTCGATAACCTAATAAGTGACACTGGACTCAAGAACACTGGGGAGATTAAGGAGCTTATGGCGGACAGAAAGCTTTGGAGACACATCATCGAGACTCGGACTCTGAAGCCGCCTTAAGTCAAGTAATTTAAGTCATGTGCTTTGACTTGCCCTTGACCTTCGTCATAGCCTCCTTTCATGACAGGAGAACACATTTGCCATGTTTGGCACATTTCCACTTTGTGCATTCATATGGATTATATCTTGATGAACGAGACATCCTGTTTGCTATCGTGATAATATACTATATCAATATAAACACACTTATATACTATGTAAACTATCTATTAAGTTAAGACATGAGAACAACACGTAGGTAAGACTTAGTGGGGAATAATTCACATTCAATACAATTAATGAAATGGCTAGAATTTTGTTAAAATTTTGTTAAAAAACCCAAAAAAACCCAAAAAAACCCAATCCCAGTATTACCTTTTCTTGGGTAGGAGTTGGGTTTTTTTGGGTTACACCCCCCCCCCCCCCCGTAATGGTATTTAAATGAAAATTGCAATGGCCACTTGGACGTTTAAGTGAATGATTGAAGCTGCACAATTTACAAAACATTTTTCAAACAACAAAAAATTTTGCATTTTCATTGGTGCAACCCTTTATTGAGACGATTTCGATTAGGAAACCGTTTTTCAAACAACGCAGCAGAGTAAACTTTTAAAGTAGCAAACAATTTTAATGATGGAAAGGAAAGGATCGGATGGGGAGAACTGAGCCAATTTTACCAGTTTCAGATGTGAAATTGACGAAATCGGGTCAGCGCAGCCCTTCTTTCCTTCCCCCTCCCACAATATTAAACAGAGTTTTTTGATGCATTCTTCTGAGGGTAGTCTCAAAAATAAGAAGTAAGCTGGTGCAGTTGTTGCAGTCAGCAAATACCTGCACAATTCTCAGATACAAACCCGTGTCGCCGAATAAATAATTTAACTGATATATAACGCTCTTTTTTTGGAGCAATCAGGCGAGAACGCAACTCAAAAAAACCACAACTGAGCATGGCGATATAAATAATCGAGTTGAAATCCCAAAGGATAGGGTCAAAGAGAGAGCATTGCCGTTTTCAACTAACGACACAAATCAGGCCACATTTGAGAAGCTTTAGCATTTTTTAATAAGCTAAGGGTGAAGATCAGCACATTTGATCGGCTGCATTGTAATCGACCAGGTATGTGTGTCCTTAGTTGAGAACGGACAGACGGCACTCGGATCAATAGCAACATTCATTAATCACACATATCATATCGTAGTTAACATCTCAGTTAACATTGTTAACATGGAGTAGTAATTAAGCTAACATTTTTGCTTAAAACCTCGCTAATCATAAGACATGTAAACATAGAGGATATAAGCCAGACAGTTTCTCCGTTGAACGACAAATCCGGTATCATTGTGTCCGGTATCCGGTATCAAGGATACAATGGGATATCCGAGATATAATCCGGGATACGACTAGATATTATCAATATCCAGGTCGTCGTCCTCCACAACTGCTGGCTTGACTTTAGATTCTTGAAGTCCGCTAGTTGCTTGATATGAGTATTCGATTTCAACCTGGTGGGAGATAAGAGATTGATAAACATTCCGGGGTATAAAGTCGAAACACGTCTACAATTGATTTTGATAGATATTGAATACATAAGACACGACTAAGATTTGATTATTAAATATTCGGACCAAGTTTTAACTACGCATATGTTTAAATTATTATATACGGTAATTAACCAGATTTTAAGCTAATCAAATAGATTTTAAGCTAATCGGAAAAATAATGATACGATAATTAAACGATATAATATAAACTAATTATCTAGAAACCTCAGGTTCAGCCTCCTCGTCGCTCTCATCCTCACTACCACTCTCTTCCTCAGCCTCTTTCAGCCACTTTATAAAGGGAGCCGCTTTGTTGTGTATCTGTTGACACATTTCCTTTCCAAGCCGCTTCTTACTGCTCTGAAACAGGTTGTTGTTCGTTAATTTAAAATTTTACATACTTTTTTAATGGAATATTAGTAATTTGTATGTAATGATTAACTGTGGGGATGGCAGTTTAGTTAACGTTAAAATACATAACTTGAGAAATTAAGGTTTTTATCTATGTTAAACAGCATATTACAGACAGAGTTAGCCTTCTACTTGTAATCTACCGGACTAGGAGTCATTATCTAATTATCTAATTATCTAATTAACATACCTTCTCTATCTTTTCCTGCCATTCGATGATGATAGTTTCCTCTACGATGTCTAGATCGTACAGACCCTTGAGAATGTGAGCTGTTTTTGGGAGCAGAGTCTCAGGATACCTTTTACAGATCAGCATCTCCAGAGATTGGAGCAGGCACTTCTGGGATCTCGGGTTCTTTATACAGAACTGTGGACAAGATGGGTTAGTTGCTGATGTTGGAGCTATATTAGGATCTAACTAGAGAGACTTGACTAAGAGAGGCGTGGCGGCACTGCACATTAGAGTAATCACAGCTCAGTTGTATCAAAACCTCCCGCATTGGGGTTTTTTTAAAGCCAAGCAGATGTTTACCCATTAACGATAGAAAATCACTATATATCACAAACCCGGAGGAAGATGTTGCGGTAGGTAGGAAGTTCACGGAGGATGTTATCTCCGAGTAGCACCTCCGTCAGGACGGATGGAGCTTTGTCTACAATATCGAGCTTCTCAGCCTCTCCGTACAGTTCCTTGTGCTCACTTACTATGTTTCCTCCTTGCTTCTTATTCTGAGAAAGGTTGTGTTAATTTTCAGGACTAGGGAAAATGGAACAATCCTGATATTGTATAATTTAAAATTGTAGCAATAATGGGTGCCAGAACAAGCATAATTTGGTTTTCTGGGCTTGTTATTGTGTGTAGCTCAATTTAGCATTAAATAGCACTGCTGGCACATGTAAGCGCAAGAAGTGACTCTGATAATGCATGAATTTGTGATGGATTGGATGCATAATAAGATAATAATGTATAATTAGGTATTATTTCATTGAAAATCAGCGTTTCAAAAGGAATTTATATCGGTCATTATTCCCTTATCACACTCAGTTATTTTTTGTTGTTGATATAGAGCAGCTTGCCACTTAGGTCCAGGATCATTATAAAACATAACTCCGGCCTTCTAGGCAGTGTGCTTGGTTGTTGGACACACTCAACTAGGAAAGGTTGAGAAACCTGATCACACTCAGTTAACGGACCAAATCTAAAATCAAAGAGTTTTATATCATTAGTGCCCACTCTCGCAGTATAATTATATGTTAAATTAGAAGACATAAATGATTTAGCGAGAGTCATACTGTCATGAGGCTAATCTAAAAGAGGCTCATTAGCTCAGATATTCTACACTCTACACTCGCGAATAATTATTTAAGCGTTCGGATTATTACATGAAAAATATCATGGCCTCCTAGCAATCAGCCAGATAATATTTCTGAAACTGAGAATATCAGGACGGTGCCCTCAGACTGTTTAAGCTAGACAAATGATAAATACAATCCATCCGACGACAAAACTCTTTCCTGTCTGCGGGCTAAGTGGAATATCAAATAACCTCGGTAAAGTTAAATAACCTCGGTAAAGTTAAATAACCTCGGTAAAGTTAAATAACCTCTGTAAAGTTGAAGAACATCTCGAGTCTCTCCTCGTGGCTGCGCTCGCTGGTGTTACTGCTGAGTGTCATGGAGGAGAGTTGCTGTTCCAGTTCGGGGGATTCCTGCGCCTCCTCCGCCCACTCTTCGTCATCATGGTCTTCTGCAACTGTGATCGCGAGTGTTACCATGTGCATGGGACCATGGAAACAAAAGTAAAGAAAGGGGAAATAGACAACTATTTATTGGGACAAACATATGTTGGATGGTTAAATGTGAGATACAAACAGCGGTAACATGGGTAATTGGGTAATGAGGGTAAGTGTGTTTTGTAAAAAGTAGGTACCTGGTGGAGGGTAAGTGTGTTTTGTAAAAAGTAGGTACCTGGTGGAGGGTAAGTGTGTTTTGTAAAAAGTAGGTACCTGGTGGAGGACTGTCCTGGTCTCCATTCCTGTCAGCGTCTACGTAGTTTTGTGCGATTATTGAGTCGTTGTTAGATCCTTTTTCGTCATCACTGTCACTATCCTTTTTGTTACCCTTCTTGCCTTTATTCTTCTTTGTCTCTCTGGAAATTTGCTAGTTATTGACTGAACATCTTACACAATGTTAAGAGGTTCAAGGTTAGAGATGGGTGACCGGTGAGATTGGGAATAGAACCTTAAAATAAAAATGTAACCAGCGATTGTTTTGTGGAAGTCCCGTTAACCTTGATCAGGAGTTGGCGATATTGTGAATGCGATACAGTTGCAGTTGTTGGCCCCCACTAATAGTAAAATTTTATCTGCCGAACAAAATGTCGGAACTGTACCGATACAGCGAATCCCTAAAAGTTCAATTCAGTCACATATTACTTGATAAACCAGAACTTCACACTCTGTTGGATACCCAGTATAATACTATCACAGACATGTTGACATGGAGTGACACTAGTGCCACGCCCGAATGGTCATCGCGCGCGCGCGCGCATTTATAAACGGGATACATTGTTTGCTTTGCATGTAAACCAGCGCTAAATATGACTCCAAATTGTTAGCATTACTACTAGTTTCACAGCGCCTTGCGACGCGCGCTCCCATTAACCTTAACGTAAGATCAGAATGCTGAGTTCTTAGAATGTTCTGTATACCGGTGACGCAATTTCCGGACTAGAATTACAGTCACGAACACGATAAAAGGACCGTTGCGATGCCAACACGTTCTCTTACACTTGCTGTCGTCACAGATAATCAAATACTGTTCTATCACCTGTGACGTTATCTTCGAACTGTTCTAGAAAATTCCGATGAGTCACCAGATCATGTGCGCTATCTAAAGCCACCGTCTTATAATTTATATAAGATAAATTACCATAGAGTAGAAATTTACAGACTTGCTGTGATTGTGACTAAGGTATAAAGTAAGACCAGATATTTCAGAGGGCCCTCTTAAATCACGAGATGGAATTTTGAGGATAACAAAGTGATTCAGAGAAAAAGAGAGACGTGAAATATGTGATCTAATGTGGCGAGATAGTGTCCGGTTACTCCGAGCACTTAAATCACACTTTCTTAAACCCGGCAGCAACTTCTATATACCATTGTGTTAACTCTACGCTGTAAAATAGGGGGTGAAGAGTGAACAGTTAGGTGGTTAGGTAGTGGACTGTGGGATCACGTGATATTAACGTTACTGTGGACACTTGTGGTTGAACTAGACATCTTGGTAAGATTAAGTTTAAGATCATACTGTCTCTAAGCAGTAACCCTTGCACTGTACATGTGGAGTACATGAATCAGTACATTGTAAACGAAACACTATAAACTGTATAAATAGTTGACTCAAACATTGCTAACTATACATTGCTTACTATACATTGCTTACTATACATTGCTAACTACAAACGTTACACTTGAAACTAGAGTACTATACAGTATACGTGTAGGACATATATATTTCACACCGGGATTAAAGCTATGGATATATTGGCACTAATGTATTTTATGTCTAGAGGGTCTATGGTTAATGGATTAGTCAGGAAATCAAGACTAGTTGAACGATTACAGTCATATTCTGACACAGTCTGACATTTAACTTCTCAGAATATCAATGTTAATAAACATTTTAAAACTTCTAAATAACAGTGAAATCAAGTCCTAAAATCTCGGTTATTTTAAACATGTCGGACAGACAAAATAAACAAAACTTAAATTTGAATTGTGATGTTTAAAGAAATTTAAAACAGCGAGAGTTTGTCCAAAGTGAACAATATTTGTAATTTTTGTTCACTAAACATATCATATGTAAGGGTAAACTGCAGGGTGAAATGCAGGGTGAAATAATCAAAATGAGAAGTAATCTAGAAGTGAAATAATCACCAAGTGGGGGGAATGCAACGTCAATTAATGTCAGTATTCCATGAAAACCCCAAACTGACATTGACATTAATTGACATTAATTGACATTAATTGACATTAATTTGTCTTGAAATTTGAGATTATCATTATTCGATAAATATTCAAGATATTCACGTCTATGTAAGTTAGACCGGTTCAAAAAAACAAAATGTCCTTGAATAATTATGAGTATGTTCTTATCTGTTGATCCTTAGGTTCAAAGACCACAAAAAAAATTTCAGCTTCCAACTCTTCCATCTTCGGTCCCCACCGGCCACGCCCATATTTTATTGGTTTCTTATACAGGTAAAATATCTAGAATCGGCTTTTTTAGTATGAAGGAGTAATGTTAGCTGTTTAAGATTCGTAATTCAAATATAAATGTCATGAAGGCATTTCGTTTAATGTGGGTTTTAAGTTCTGATGATGTTGAGAATCACGCCCTTGGATGGCCACGCCCATTTAAGAAAATTAAATTTCGGAAAACCGTATTATTTTAGTTTTATTATTTAATGATCTGAATTTTTCACATTTCACATTTCCATATATTGTGATAGTAGTGAATAAATTGATGATATAAACGTTCTAAAGTGCTAAAAATATGGTAGAACTACATAATCTCTGGTCGAAAAATGTCGTGTCAATTAATGTCAGTATTCCCAAATTTTGCAAAACTGACATTGACATTAATTGACATTAATTGACATTAATTGACATTAATTGACATTAATTGAAGTTGCATTCCCCCCCACCAAGTATGCAGAAATGATAATCAAATTTTAGACAGCTTAACATAATTAAGATCTAATAAACATGATAAACTAATCCAAACTTACTTTTTGCCAGCTCCGTTTTCTACAGGAGTGCTATTGGGGGGGTTCTTGTAGATGAACTGGGTTAGTCTGTGTACTATCTTGATCACACCCCGCTCACCGCACGCCATACAGCGCTGAGATATGCTCTGCTTGTGTACGGTCTGAGATAGAAGGGGTGTGGTTAGTAGCCACTGGTAACTACTGGTTACTGGTTAGTAACCACTGGTAACTACTGGTTACTGGTTGGTAACTACTGGTTAGATACAGGGCATTATATTACAGATAAAATAAGGTTACAGGGCATAATATTACAGATATGAAATCCGGGGTGGGGAGCTGAAGGCGGGGCATGTTTTTATCACACGTGACAGTCAGCTTCCAATATTGACCTATCAAACCCCAGTTCCTTTACTTTAAATATAAAGTTAAGGAACAACTTCAGTCAGATGGGCGCTAGAATCTTGAAGGTGGTTGGTGAGTAGTATCTAGACGTTACTCATATGATATTTCTGAACTGAATATTGGTGTATTACAGGGATTTCTGGATACGCGAATTGGGCTTTTTACAGTAGGGGTACAGTAACCCCAAAATCTCTAACCATCCTCCAATTATACCTAGTTTTCTCCCCCCCCCCCCCCCCTACTCTGCTCCCCCCTCCTCTGCTCTCCCACCCCCCCCCCTCCACTTATAAGATTCTTGTCGATGCAACAACTCATGGGATTATTGGAATAAATAAATAAGAGTGAGGATAAAAACGAACTATAAAAACAAATGAACCACTATAACTAACCAGTGTAGTCTCAGGATTCTCACACTTGGGACAAAGTACGAACTTCTGAATAAATCCGTCTAAGATGTCCTGCATCTTGTCGGAGGTATGGGAGCCGTTAACGATGTACTTGTCTGTCTTGTGGTCTATCGTGGTCTGGGCTCCCAGCTCACACCCAAAGTACTTTGTAGGGTCTGAAAATAGTGAAATTTAGTGAAATAGTGAAATATAGTGAAATATAGTGAAATGATGTGATTTAGCGGATGTGTTAAGATGGTGATGATACATTGAGAGGGCTATGAGATGAAGTTAGCATATTTTCTGTTCGATAGTAAAACATGAACTACACGGTTTAAAACATGTTAAAGACAATGTTATTAAGAATGTGAACATTAACTGTGACAGGGTCTAACTTGTCAGTGTAGTGGATATCTAACACAGCTGTCAGCTATTACACATCAGCGTGGTTTTACAGTACGCGGGTGTAATATTTGCAGCATGTATACCAAGCTAAGAGTTACTAGTGGTTACTAGTGGTTACTAATGGTCACTATTGGTTGTAATACTTGCAGCATGTATACCAAGAGTTTAAAATACTGAGGATCGTCTACACTAAAAGTTTTGAGAGCTTTGTAACACTATTTGATGTATGCTTGATAAGATGATAGATCGTGCGTAGGATTTTTGTGTAAGTTTGTTATAAGAAACAGTTTTTACTCTATCATTAATACAACGTCTCTTATTTTTTCTCTCCAGATCTAGTACAAGTAATTAAGGGAAGTATATCATATTTATAGTTAATATAATGCAAATGTTACATTCAGTTTCATCTTTAAGAAACCCTGTTTTATTCCTACTCAGCATTTATTAAGTCTATTAAAAAGACACTGCCGTGACTTCAACTTCACACCATCTACTCGACAGTACGCACAATCCACTGGATAGTAACAATGCTATCTTCATGATATAACAACGGTTACTGATACTACACTGCTCGCTACATGTAACCACTATAATACACAATAAGTACTATATTAAGTAGTGACGTTATTATTTAAAACACGCACGCATCACTGGACACATGGTAAGTATAGAATTATTGCTGTTGAGTATTGGTAAGTATAGACTATATTAGAATTATTGTCCTGTACGATACATGCTTAGTCGTGTGACGATATTAGATTTTAACTACAGATTATTACATTTATTCATTATTAGTTTATCATTATCTATTATTTATTAACAGTATTAAACTAAAGATTATAATACTAAATAATAAATTAATAACAATAAATAAAAATGAATTGATAAAAAATTATAACATTTATAATTAAGGGCAGAAAAGAGGGGAAGATGATACATGTGATAGATATATCTATAATCTATGTACAACACGTTTTAATATGCTAATGACGGTTTGAAGGCAGCATCCTCTCAATCGAACCTTTCGTTAGTTTGTAAAACATGTACTCATCATTGAACTACTGTCCAGCATACGATTAGATTGCTCAGTCAAATGACAGTGAAGATATTGTAGTATTATCATGTACGGAAAGATTACATAATGCTTTTATTATCTCAAGTTTCAATAAATCTGGTAACAATAATAGAAGATCTATTTCTAGAATGGTAAGATTGGCACATGATCGAGAATGTTCTATCAATAAAATCAGTATGATTCAGAATATTCCACAGCACCTATATTACAGTGCTGAAATAAACCATTATCTATTATACTGCTCTTTGAAACATGCACCATGAAGATTAAATTGGCTTTTGTTCTAGAACATTTTATCGTGTTATTAGGGAAACTTTTATATTCTAGATTATTCGGGCAGAAAGTTCATTAGTTCTATACAGCTGACAAGAAATGAGCAAATACCTTTAAATACTTTAAAAGATGAGGAGATAATGATGATATATCAGCTTATCAATACTGATAAAAAGTCTGTGTGTGGGTGGGAAATTTTCAAGCGCCTTAATTAAGAAAACAGTAAAAGTTCGGGACTGGTTTTTTTCGGTATAGTGCCGACAAAACTCTGACGAAGCCAATGAGCAAATTTATTTTAAATCGGCCGCTGGTAATTGGTTAAATTGATGCTTTGATGGTTTTATACCACAAATGTGACATAAAATGGCTTCACTTTGCATATAATATGCAGCGTTGGTACATAAATCATAATTAGGTTAACCGCAAGATTCATATTTAAGCTGATTTATCATGACATCACTGCATTAGTAAGACTAAGAACTAGAGGTATCGAGGTGAGCTCGTAGTTCTTTAACCTTCCACTCATGATAAATATTGTATATATTCAATTTTTCTGATCCGTAGGGGATCCGGATTAAATCCGGACCGGATTATTATTATTATATCTTATTCCTGGTTATTATTACAGTGAATTTTCCCACCCCCTGTTGTTTTATAAAAGTTTTTGCTGCTTATTTAATTGCAAAATCCGGATTGGAATATTATTTATGAGTCGCATAGTTGAAATGTTTTCTTGGGTAAATATCTATTGATCCCGTTTGATGCAAAAATGAAAAAAGGCGACAAGGATAAGAGCCTTTTTCCTTGTCGATCTAAACGGGATCAATAGAAATTTACCTAAGAAAAAATTTCATTTAACTGCGGTAGAAAATCTTCTGATATATAATATTTAATTAAAAATAAATTGTAGTACTTTGTAATTGTTGCAATCGGTAAAATCATCTGACTTTTTAAAAGCATGAGTCATGCGTGATTAATGACGACTTTGATAATGCACATGATCGCTGAGAGAAGACCCTGTTGTAAACATACTAAATATAATACGTACCATGGCAGCTTGAGACTGTAAAACATGTATTATTGTATTAATTTGAAATGCACAACACAAGATATATATAATATATATTATATAATAGAACACGTGATTATAAACAATATACTGGCAGTTGTACTGTGTAAAGTTAGTTACTAAATTGAGATTACAGATCGTGGGAGAGAAAGTAAACAATAGTAGTTACTTGCAACCATGGTAACGCCTGTCGATCTAACACTGTCTTGCGTTACCGTACAATTACGTCAATGTGTGGAACTAAAAGCAAAGATTACAATCGTTTTCATGATGCAACTTTTAATTTGCCAGTGGAGTGTTGGGGAATATGAAGAGATGGATCGTTAACTTAATTATTTGAAGTAAAATGTAAATGTTCTACAAATTTGAAATTATGATTTCAATAAGTAAATCAAATAACTGATATAACCACTAAACATATCATAGAAAATAAGTTATCATAATTGTATAAAATTAAAACTAATTAAAACTAATTAAAACTAATTAAAATTAATTAATTACTAACATGAGGGAGGTCTATCGAGGGATTTAGCTATGTCGCTCATATTAACTATTCTGGTTTTGATACCGTTACCCTTCCCCTCTACCTGAAAAGAACACAGCTGTTAAAACATTATAATTATGAGAATAATAATTATGTAGTTATAATAATTATAAGAGTAATATTCTGGAGAGAGGTTCTGAAAACATATAATTGCAATGTCAGACAAGTTAAAAAGTAAATAGCATGTTTTAATAGTCTTGGGTTTGGTATAATGGAGTGGAGAGGTTGTTAAATATAATTCTGTTTAGCGAGAGGGAGAGACAGCAACTGTTAGACTATGTTATTAGCTGGAGCGGCTAGACAGCTTAAAACGTGCAATATTTATTATGTTAACTTCAGTTGGGGGGCCGGGGCCGGGGGGGGGGGCAAACCCATGCCCAGTTGACCAAAAGTTGAGGAAAAAGTAAAAATGGGGTTGCCTCCTCCCCCCTCATCTCTGTTGCATCCAGACTTATGTTATTACCCTAACTCCTCAAATTCCGTGAAACATTAGAATTTCATCAACATGGGGCCTGAAGGCCAAGGAGGGATCAAGTCAGCTAATACTCCTATTACAGAGCTAGTAAAATTGTATGGTAGCCAAAATAGAACTCTCCTGTGATTGGACAGTGGGAGGTCACGTGGTGTTATAAAGGGCTAGTGATTGGACAGTTCTAGACTGCTAACTTTCCCAACATGGGCGTTACCATGGTAACCACATTAACGTCACACCATGGTTATCATTTCACAATACAACATGTCTTCTCCTCATACGTGTTAGATTGTGAAATAAAGTGGCGCTACAGTGGTTTGTGATCAGATGTTTCAAGAAAATACGGTTGCAAACATACTCTGCTGGAAGGCCGATCTTCAATCCATTTATTATTGAAAATTGGTTTTAACAGCCAAGGTACGGGTACAAGGGTATGTTACAATGGGTACACGCCTGCAAACTGTCTAGCTCTTGTATACTGTCTCGACAGCTTGCCTCCTGTGTAACAACTGTGATAGTTTTATATCTATATTCTGTGTGTTTTACAAATTAGCAGTTATATATCAGAACAGGGCTAGTTATACATTCCATTACTCTAGAACAACGAGTAAAGTCGCTGATCAATTTATCCGTCATCTGACTGACTTCCAATTCGATCTTTTACGCTAATACCGTATAGTTGATTGATTACAAGGCAGAAAATTAGATCACAGATTCCTTATGTTGTAATGTGGTCACTTGCGTCAAGAAAAAACGCGGCCAACAAATTTAACTTATAAAAAGTATGCGATCATCACGTAATACCATCATACCAGAGGCTGGACAGGAAAACAACTGTGGTGGTCGTGACGTCATGATTTATCTATCACATACAGCACTTCCTGGGTAATACCTAGTGGCTACTGTATTGTTAGGCTTACTTCTTAGGGTTTTCTTTCAAGAAAATTTATGATTTTTTCAGAATAGACTAAAAAAACCAAAATTTTCTTGAAAGAATCATCAAATGAGACTCAATAATGCTACACGACTCAATCAGATTATTCTTAGGGTTTCGTTGAAATTATAGTGAAATTAAATGCCCAGGATACAGTATTGGCTACTGATTATTTAGTAGCAGGCAGGTTAGAGACGTGGTTGTGCAACTTCAAATAGAGTATGTGGATTTCAAATGTAATGTACTTGTTTTATCCGCCCGACTGCAACTCAGCAACTGCTAGGTAATTCCGAGTAGGATTTCGAAAGAGTCGTTGTATTAAAAGGTTATTTGTACACTGGTGGATTCGTGTAGTGTTTTTGAGTCTCATGATTTGATAGTTCTTTTATTCAAATTTCTGATTGTTTCTGAATAGACTCAGTGATGACAGATTCTAATGGAAATAAATAGCTGAATAACGTATCGACATTTCTACGTCATACTCATATTCTCAATAAATGTATTTAATTGTAGTTGTGAAAATAGTTTTAAACTATTTTCACAACTACAATTAAATACATTTATTGAGAATATGAATATGACGTAGAAATGTCGATACGTTATTCAGCTATTTATTTCCATTAGAATCTGTCATCACTGAGTCTATTCAGAAACAATCAGAAATTTGAATAAAAGAGTTATTTGTACATTTAAACATGTCTTGGGTGTAATACAGATTACAGATGGACAACTCTGTAACTGTAAGATGTGTTAAACATTAACAAATGTAACACAAGTTTGCTATGCTGGCGGCGGAGGACTACCCCTATCATGTTCAGTCATTTATATGTTCTTGGAAATACTTGTTTGATCTACCCGACGGGGGAGAAACCATCCAATACACTGTCCACCCTGAATCACGTACTACAACACAGACCATCTCTCTATACACACATTGAGAGCAAGTCTACAGTCAACTTGATGATAAACATGAAACATCAGCTGCTAATTTCTTAGAATAACGTGAGAGTTTGACTGCCAATATCACTTGAATCGTATGTGGTTTAAGGCCAGAGGGGGGGTAAAAGTCGATTTTCCAGTTTTCACATATTTGTTCAGAGCTGCTGGAGACGAACAAGAAGAAAAAAACCGGATCGAAATCTGACCTTGCGTTTTTAAGATATCGCGCGCCAAATATTGAGGTTTACATGTAATTACTTTAACTTAAACTGTAAAAAGTTAAAAGTCCCTTAGTTGAGAATACTGGCCACATCCAGAAGCTGAAACTTGGCACAGTTGTTCTTTGGGCTGTCACCCACAATTCTATTGCACAGAATTTTGATATTTGCCTCTGTTCTCGAGATATGAGGTTAACTTTACCCCAAATTCGACATTTTTCGAAAAATGGGGTAAAGTTAACCTCATATCTCGAGAACAGAGGCAAATATCAAAATTCTGTGCAACAGAATTGTGGGTGACAGCCCAAGGAACAACTGTACCAAGTTTCAGCTTCTGGGTGTGGCCAGTATTCTCAACTAAGGGATGTTTAACTTTTTACAGTTTAAGTTAAAGTTTTACATGTAATTACATGTAAACCTCAATATTTGGCGCGCGATATCTTAAAAACGCAAGGTCAGATTTCGATCCGGTTTTTTCTTCTTGTTCGTCTCCAGCAGCTCTGATCAAATATGTGAAAACTGGAAAATCGACTTTTACCCCCCCCCCCCCCCCCTCTGTCCTTAATGATTAACGATGTTTCAATTAGTCGGCGTATTTGGCTTATTACCAGCCTCTGCTATAGTACACTGTTACTAATTCAGCTTACACCAGTTTACTTTCTGTGTTTCTGCGAAGTGTCGAATTCAGCGTTAATGAACGATTCTACAAAATTCTAGTTAATTCCAGTATAATGCTCCTGTTAACTTACTAGTTATACTGCACTCACTTATGTGTAACAATGTACACGGAGCTAGCTGTTAACGGGGGGTACACTACGCCCCCCCCCCCCCCCCCCCCCCGGCCCCTGGCCCTGTTAGCTCAATATCATACATGGGTGATGTTACTTGTGCAGGAAACAAGCCTAGAATAACATTGAGCTATTGCCAGTTCTTGTGCACATACCACCATTTCATCACAAGGTATAGGTAGAAAAAAACCTTAACCGTACCTGGTAACCTTGTTGCCTGTTTTCTCAATGAATGTCAAAAGTAATCTGTACGAGACGAGATCAATGACCCTTTAGCTTTGGATAAAAGATTCGTCACATGTTCAACGAATATCATGACCATTGACAATCTAATGTTGGTCATGGTCAATATGTAATGGTCATTTGACATGGGGTAGAAGGGTACAAAGATTGGAGCTTTATTTTTAGATATCTTTCTTATTACTATTCTAAATAACAGGCAGTATTGAACCCTTTGAAAAGCAGCTATCTATATCCCTATCACAAAGAGGAACAGATACTTCATGATCGTATTCCAATCAAAACCTATAAACAGCTGGCCAATGACGGCTGAGTAGAGGGACTTCAGCATCACTCCGGTGGATTTCAGCCTGACCATAAATGGAATAATCACCCACTCAGCTGAGAATGTTATTATTCCATATATGGTCAACGAAATCAACCAAAGAAATCTGCGATAGGCGAATTTTATTGTTCTGGCGAATAATTGCGTGGGGACCAGTGAAAATAACTGCAAAGGACTCTCGTAAAGCAGAAATTAAGGACACCCAGATGATGTAACCTCTAAAGAATATTACTTTAAGGTTGGTTGTGACAATTAGGAATATACGGGCTAACTATCGTCAGATGTGGAACCCATCAACTGACATCCTGACACCGTTTAGCATATTCTCACAGCCCTATAAATTGCATATAGTGGTAACTGTCAGGAGGGTATTTATAGCGATTATCTAAACCAATATATTGACAGGAGAGCACAGAGCCCTGTGAAGGGTAGAACCTCTATTTTAGAGCTTTGATGATGTTATCATGCTCTGGGGTAGAATATAAAACCCTATTTTCTTTGTTAGTAATACTCACATAATGCCTGAGCTGACTGACAACGACAGGTAGCATGTATGCGTGAATTGTCACAATAGTGCAAATCGACGTCAAACTGCTATCTGTCTCCTTTGTGACTAATACAACCAGCTGAATCTCTATTACAAAGTCTTTACAAATGGACTTCTAAAAATGACCACCTCGTACCACAATCATGACCATGTTTGGTTTAATCATTGATTTGTTCAACGTGGCTGACGACTGACGAGGAGGTAGTAGAAAGTAGGGCAATTCAGTTAGAGGAAGTTGCCTAAACACATCAAATACAAGATAAGCAGTGTGATGTAAGTCTTATCTGTATGGGCGTTTTGCCAGCAACGTTTTCAGTTCATCATGCTCAAGAGAAATAGAAGTTCAACTTCATAGTTTGTGGTAACGGTCGTTTTAAATGACTGTAAAGTAACAAAGATGTGATACCAAATTAGCAACATTTCCTTAAAAAGTGCCGTTTCTTGATTTAATCATCCCCAACAAGGCTAACAATCCTGGAATCTGTGCCAGATAAAGACTTACCTAAGTAACATTAAGTAAAGTAACATTAAGTAAAGTAACATTAAGTAAAGTAACATTAAGTAATGTAAGTAAGCAAATATTATTAAAATAACTTACCTTTACTATAACTTTCGGCATCTTGTATCTGTAGAACATGTCAGTGACACTTCGATTAATGTTGAGAGTTGCCATTCTGATCCCCGATTAGATTGTGACTGAAAAACGAAAGGTTAATAAGATTAATTGTTAATTGATAAATCCAACACTTGACTGCTGCACAGTAATAAATCGTACACAACTTGAAATAATAGAACACTCCCAACATTGAGTTTACCTACATATGAGTCAGATTTTTGGCAATTTACACAATGGTTTAAATAAATAGGACCCGGGGTGCAAGTGATTAAAAAAGGTATGCAAGTGGACAAATAAGACATAATCGTGAAATTACGTAGGAAATATTTAAAACCTTACACTTACCAGCATACAATGATGATCAGGTCTGATTATTTGAGTGTTGTGATAAGTTTCACTGGCTGCAGTCTCTAAATCAAAAGTCATAAAAAGGCTCGTCGAAAAGCAGGAGTGCCTTGATGCCTGAAAAGGAGGTTATTTGAAAAGAAAGCAATTAATAATAGTTTTAAAACTTAATCAAGGCCTTTTCATGGAGTATAATACATGATTCAGTCTAAGCGAAGCAAGTCCAGCCCTTTTCAGTCATAGAAGATTGTTTCAAATTTGATGACACGTTCCTGCGTGTACTCATACAAAGGTTTTAGTCGCAAGAGCGGTCATCATTCATATGTTAATTAAAAGAATATGATACTATGAAACCCAGTAAAGAATTGAACTTCATGGGCGAAAACAAGCTTTGTACCCTATTTACCTTAATTCGCGGTCTGTGGTCTGTTGAAGATAGAGCTCTCATATAATATTTAACACAACGATGAAATCAGGCCAACACGGTAACGTACGGTTAAAATGGGGGACTTAAAATCTCAGTCACTTGCGCAACCAGACTCTTATCACGTGACAATACAGATCTGAGATGATTGGTTAAAAACTGATCACACTACGAATGCTCAATTATTATTGGCTGATTTTATCTATTGCAATATCTGTATCCAATGCGAAAACAAATATAAAGCGCGGAAGGTAAGATGATAAACATATTAAAACGCGCGCGGCTTCAATTATAAACCTTGACGAAACTCGAGCTACTTGCTGATTCACGTTGCGATCATTGATCTTAATGAATTTTGTTTCACTGTATAATGAAATAAGCGAACTTTAACATTCAATCAAATCATTATATGACAAAATGCTAACTTTCATTTTAATTCGAACAAATATCACGCAAATAATAAATAATAAAATATAGCACAAAAATTATTATTTTATTATATTGTTACATAATACATAAACACATATGTTTAATTGTTGATTGTTGATGTTACGCCGTAACTTATAAATATCGGCCAAACAAACTAAACATTTTAAATTCACTGTGAATTTATTCATCATTGTAACTTTTGTTCTATTATTGTAACTTTATTGATTCACGATGTCAATCCTTTGCATCTCGCCAATCTGCATAAGCGAGAAGCATTATTGGATGCGCGCGCGTGACCCAGTAGTGCATCGCGCTACAAGTAACTTTAGTATTTTATTCATTCATTTTGACCATTTGTTTATTTTTACCTTCATGATCATTAACGATTAAATTACACGAACAATACAAAATAAATTGCAAATGAAAACTAAAAATTCGCAAAACTAGTAGTATTAAAATTTTATATAAACGGTGATTTTTGGATTCATGATCAATAATTGATAATGACAGATTTATGTAATATAAATGATAAATAATGCAACGTGTGATTTGACCATTGTTAATGCTTATGCATAATGGTTTGGCGCGGCACACGCTACTTCGTAGCCACAGCATGAGCACTTGCCAAAATATTTCGAGAAGAAAGCGGCTTGTATGTTGTAGGTTTACAACCTACCAGGACGCGCGCCGAGTTGGACTCGTCGACGGTCCTGTTCCAATATATGGAACAGATATTTTACGAGTATCACCCGTTAAAAAGCGGCGCGCGTTACTTCGAAGAAATTTAGAAGAGTAACATCCGTCAACGTGTGATACTCTTTGTTCCAAATATTAAACTGTCGACGAATCCAACTCGGTGCGCGTCTGGTATAGTGTACATATAGTAGGTTTGGTATAATAGTAGGTGATAAACCAACTAAACGCAAACGTGTGGTCAAGGATTATGTTGCTATAACTAGAGCCCTCTCGCTTACAAGCGCGTCACGCAGTGCGCGTATACACATGGCTATGTGAAAGGATTATGCATGATCAGTGATTGGTTTGATACTTTTTTTTGTATTGATTGCTTCACTAAGCAAAGCTGTGTAAGGCGCTTAAAAGTACAACATACTATTATACAGTGTATTTGGTATTATATATTGGAATTGTAATCTGAGTTTGATTCACGATGTCAATCCTTCGCAGCTCGGTGAGGCACAGTGGTGCATCTCGCCGATCTACCAAAGATCTTCACCTAACCTTACCTGAGGACCCCAGGCTATTATGTTCGTTAACATAATATAGATTTGGCGGAATGACAGGCTGAGCGCGGCCCAGTAACACCTAACCATGTGCTTTCGTGCCACTTCGGGCGCGCTTGTTTCACAAGTTGTTTCACAGCCGTGAGGCGGGCGCGCGCTACTGCAAGCGCAAGGGCTCTGGATAGAGCAACCAAAGATCTACTGTGGTTGCGAGAAGCATTATTGGATGCGCGCGCGCGACCCAGTAGTGCATCGCGCTACAAAATCTTTGTCATACGTTGTATGACCCGCCGCGCACGAGTGCAGGGCTCCCCCTGTATCGTCGAAACTCTACAGGGGAAGTACTATAGTGAAGCGACCGTGGGGGTCACCACGTGATACAACAAAATCTGAGTGTACTGCTCTATCAGGAGCCCTTGCAGTGGCGCGCGCCCTCCTCCCGGCGGTAAAAAAGCGGGCGCGCAGTGGCGCGAAAGCACATGGTTAGGTGAAATCTGAGTGCATCACCAAATATCAAATATCATTGCTCATCGTCATTTCATATAATAAATACTTTAATTCACGATGTCTGATGTCAATCCTTCGCAGCTCGGCGAGGCCCAGTGGTGCATTTCATTCATCCTTGATCGACCGAAATATTACTGGGCGGCGCTCAGCCTGTCATTCCGCCGAATCTTTATGTTTATGAGCATAATATAATAGCCTGGGGTAACCGAAATATTGCGAGAAACATTATTTAATGCGCGGCTCAGTATTACCTGGGGACCTTAGGCTATCATGTTCATAAACATATAGAATAGAGATTCGGCGGAATGACAGGCTGATCGTTACCTGGGGACCTCAGGCTATCATGCTAATAAACATATATAGAATAGAGATTAGGCGGAACGATAAGATGAGCGCGGCCCAGTTGTGCATCGCGCTGTAACAAATGCAAATACGAAATTAAAGAAGTACCGATATGGCCGCGCACTCTACTCCACACTCGTTGCTCTTTACCTGAGGACCCCAGTTAGGTAGGCTATTATGTTCATTAACATATATATAGATTTGGCGGAATGACAGGCTGAGCGCGGCCCAGTAAGTTGCTCTGTGCTGTGCATCGTGCCGACTGCCGGCCACAACATGAGGCATGGCAAAGATCAGCTTCAAAAATGCTATGGTTTTAATAACCGTGTCAGTTTTAACCAAATTACCGTGAAATGTGACAATTAAATGTTTATTTGAGATCAGCTTTTCTAGTATTGATATGAGTATAGCAAAGCATGCTTTGTTTGCGGTGTTGGTGTTATTATTAATTTATGAATCTTGGTAAAAATGGAATACGGACAAGTTTACTGGGCTTAAATGGGGAAACCGAATAACTCGGGCAATAGAATTGGTGTCTCATCTATTAGAGTCATGCAGTACTAGCAGTACTTCAATCGATTTTTGATACACTTTGCAGCTCCCTCTTCACTTGCACATCACAAGGGAAACGAAACATGAGGCAGATCGATATGGATTCAGTCTACTGGGCGGTGCTCAGCCTGCCAATCCGCCATATCTTCAATCGTGTTAATATGAACACAGAGGTCCCCAGTACAGGCAGGAGGGATTCAGAAAACTGGCGAAATTAACAGTACGTCGATAGACGCGCGCAGCAGCAATGTAAATAAATAAATAGACTGTATTAGCTTGCGGCGCGCATATCAAACTGTTTAAAGGAGTACAGTTTAATAATCCATATCTGTTCCGCGCGTTCCACAAATGGAGTGGGACAACACCCAGATTTGTTCAGCACGCTATGTCCAGAATGCTGTCGACCTACATTGGATGCGGCGGTAAGGTCATGGGTTACTGATTATAACGGCTCAGACGAAAACAGGAGAAGATGAACAATAGAAGATGAACATGCATAACAAGCATGAGAAGTGGTTATAGGTCGCTCTTATTGGTCACTCTTACAAAATTACTGGAAATGCCCCTGGGGGACTGTATTTGGGGCAAACCAAATTTGGGCACTAAACGTGTCTAACTGCAGATGATGGACTTTGGAGGTAATAAAACAACTGTGTAAGAATTTGTGACAAAGGTCACCCAAAAAACGATGATACCGTAAAGTTCTGTAAGTCAGACAGGAAACATCGCTTTTTTGATACATATCTCTTATTTACACGGATAATAATCGCCTCTTGTGAATCCAACCGCGCCACCACAATTTGTGTTACTGTAAAACATCGCGTTCTTTAATTCAACTTCAAATTTGGTTCATCTGCAAAATAGTTTGGTTTCAAAAAGTTGGAGAGAACGCGGTGTTTGACAGAAACATAAACTAGGAAATTAAGGTAAATCATCCGAAACAGACCGTAAATAATTTTAAATACAAGATCAAGAATTTCCGTTTCATTTTAAAACCATCTGAGGAGACATTTTTTTCATATAAAACTGGGAAAACTTAATCAATGTAACATTTAAGTTCACATGGCCCTGGCCAAATACTTCGAGCCCCATTTCTTGATCTTAGCACTAGCTGTTACGTAACCCTAACTGAATTCATCACCCCAACCAACAACAAAAAAACTTAACAAGATATCAAGAGCTAATATCTGGGGCACGAAGCGGTGACGGGGGACAACGATCACAAAAAATGTTGATATTTTTAACCACTTATTATAACGACACCTTATAAAACATTAAATTGGATCATGGGATATAATAATATACGGTAATTATATAATTAAACAATAATTAATTCTTAATTAATCAATTATATAACTACCGCATAATAATAACGCGTTAAAACAAATATCACTGTGACAGCTCACTTCTTGCGTGAGCAAATTCATCAATCAATTTAAAAGTATTAACATTTCATTATCATGTAAGTAATATTTTCTACAAAACGATTAGCCCATTATATCTCGTCCAGTTATGTATTCTTTAAGAAGTTAAATGCATTTTAATAATGTAACTAATTAGGCCTACATTTGTGATTAATTACTCCCAAATTACTCTTCAATTTCTTGAAATCCTCCAATTGTTAAGCAGAGTCGTGTTGATATCAAGTGAATAATTTCATTCACAATTTATAAGGACAGTGCTATTTTTGTTGATTAGGTTGCCTCCCCTTTACCCTCTTAATTTCTATGCCGCCCCCAACATTTTTGAGTTTCACAATTCACAATAACACCTCAATAAACTATATATCGTTTGTTGATTGTGCAATATAAAAAGCGGAGCTATAACAATTAACGAGCATACAAAAAGTGTGAAGCATGTGACGTCACGTGAGGGAGCGTGTGACGTCACGTGAGGGAACTTGTGACGTCACGTAAAGGAACGTGTGACGTCACGTGAGGGAGCGTGTGACGTCACGTAAAGGAGCGTGTGACGTCACGTAAAGGAACTTGTGACGTCACGTGAGGTATCGTGTGACGAGACTTGAGGGAACATGTGACGACATGTGATTGGACGTGTGACGTCACGTGAGGGAACATGTGACGACATGTGATTGGACGTGTGACGTCACGTGAGGGAAAATTTGACGTCATGTGGTAAATAAATTCATTTAAGTCAGTTCGTTTCTTCATTGTTTGCACATAGCGTTCTTTTTGCGGGCCTGCATTTGCGCATAGAACGGATCTTTGCTGATGCTTTTTCTGATGCTTTCCATCCAGGCCATCATTTCCTCCTGAGTAAAGAAGAAATATTAACTTGAATTGTTAAATTGTAGATATGGGATAAAATATCCCATAATATATAATAAACTATTATACATATTTAACTCGCAAATATTTAAAATAATTGAACTATTTAAACTAATTGATTTCTTACATGATTGCTTGCTTGTATTCTGTAGTATTCATGGTTACCGGACACCATTTTGCCGCCACTGTCTGTTTTAGCTGATTTGATAAACTTTTCGTCGGATCTTATCTCGAGTGTAAACTTTCTGTCTTTTAGTTTACACTCCTCAACCTGGAACAGTTACTTCTTAATCACTTAATCACTTAATCACTTAATCACTTAATCTTCTGAGGAACATCCAGGAACTCATATCAGAACTCAGAAGCCAAAACCGAGTCTTAAAATAATAGGATGATTTAAGAAGAGTATTTACAGCTTTTCAGCACCAAAATCTAGACTCTGCATGAGTCCATGAACTTAAAAAATGGAATTGTTAATTTTCACAACAACGTTTGAAATAAAACTTTATAAAGTTTTATAAAACTTTATGTTATAACCCTGTTATAAAGGGTATTTATACAACGTTTGAAATAAATTTCAAACGTTGTATAAATACCCTTTATAACGTAAGTATCTATAACGTAAGTATCTATAACGTAAGTATCTATAACGTAAGTATCTATAACGTAAGTATTCATAACTCATAACGTAAGCATTTATAACGTAAGTATTTATAACGTGAGTATTCATAACGTAAGTATTCATAACGTCGACCTTACCTTGAGGTTTTCCAGGGGAACAATACCCTTAGGTTCACTATCTGATTCCTTCACAAAATAATACAAACAATTATCAGTCAACACAAAGTATCTTTTCTTCCAGCTCTTATGTTTTCCTCCCTCCTTAACTAGATAACCCCGTTTATCAGGGTTGTAGAATGTTATGGTGAAGTCTTGTGTGTCGTCTTCAGGTATTTCGAAGGGCGTGTTTTTAATGGAGTGGTATGCGTCTATGAGTAGCTGGGCGGGGAGGTCTCCACCATCGTTTATACCTGGTTAATGTTTATCATTAAATAATTAAATAATTAGCTGTGAAGATTATAATTAGAGGTTAGGTTTACCACTGACGTAACAACTAACGTTAACGTAAGTACAGTTAATTGATCAGCTGTTGTTGATCCTAGCTTAGTATCATGTTTTATAAAGGCTAAAAAATGTGCCAAAACAAAAAATCACAACAAAACAAAACAGTCTTTCCCTGCTTCATGAAACTATGACGTCACGTGAGGGAAAGCGTCAATAAAAACTTCAATAAAACTAACCGTTGTTCATTTTTACGAATTGATCAGCAGAAAGCTTGTCTTTAACACTGGGGTTATGAAGTGAGGTGTTGAGCATTATGATGGAGAACGCTAGAACGTAGCACGTGTCACTTTTACTGTACACACTGCCAGTTGCTTTGCAGTAGACTGTCGCGAACTCTTCCATCATTCGGTCGATCTGTGGGTAATCAGATGATTAGATAACTAATTGATTTGATAATTGGTTGGTTAAATAGCTGGAGAGGAATGTGGAAGGCAAAAGTCGAATAATGGAACTTTTAATTCACGTAGGTAATGTAAAATTGATATATAGTTAATATAAAGGGGGGGGTGTCATGTCCGTCTATGTCCGTCTATGTCCTGTCCTTTTTGGATTCTATGAGACAACGGACGTGTTTTTTGGGACATTGGCGGACACGGACGGACATTGGCGGACTCGGACGGACATTGGCGGACTCGGACGGACATTGGCGGACTCGGACGGACATTGGCGGACCCGGACGGACATTGGCGGACTTGGATGGACATTGGTGGACATTAGCGGACATTGGTGGACATTAGCGGCAAAAATTTTGAGGACTGAAGAGTACTGAAGAGTACTGAAGAGTACTGAGGAGGATGGCTGAGAAGGATGGCTGAGGAGGATGGCTGAGGAGGATGACTGAGGAGGATGACTGAGGAGGATGACTGAGGAGGATGACTGAGAGGGAGGAGAAGGATCAGGAAGACCCAGGAGGAGGAGGACCCAGAAGGAGGACCTAGGAGGAGGAGGAGGAGAACTGAGGAGGATGACTGAGGAGGAGGAGGACTGAGGAGGAGGACTGAGGAGGACTGAGGAGGACTGAGAAGGAGGAGGACTGAGGAGAATGGCTGAGGAGGATGGCTGAGGAGGATGACTGAGAGGGAGGAGGAGGAGGAAGAGGAGGAAGAGGACTGAGGAGGAGGAGGAGAAGGACTGAGGAGGAGAAGGAGGAGGAGGACCCAGGAGGAGGACCCAGGAAAAGGCCCCAGGAGGAGGAGGAGGACTGGGGAGGAGGAGAACTGTTGAGGACTGATGAGGAGGACTGAGGACGAGGAGGAGGAGTAGGAGGAGGACTGAGGAGGGGAGGAGGAAGAGGACTGGGGAGGATCAGGAAGACCCAGGAGGACCCAGGAGGAGGAGGAGGAGGACCCAGGAGGAGGAGGATGACTGAGGAGGACTGAGGAGGAGGACTGACGATGACTGAGAAGGAGGAGGACTGAGGAGTACTGAGGAGGATGGCTGAGGAGGATGGCTGGGGAGGATGGCTGGGGAGGATGGCTGGGGAGGATGGCTGAGGAGGATGACTGAGGAGGATGACTGAGAGGGAGGAGGAGGAGGACTCAGAAGGAAGAGGATCAGGAGGAGGACTCAGGAGGAGGACTCAGGAGGAGGACTTAGGAGAAATGAGAAGGAGGACTGAGGAGAACTGAGGAGGAGGAGGAGGAGGAGGACTGAATAGGAGAAGGAGGGCAAGGAGGGGGACTGGGAGAGGACTGGGGAGGAGGAGGACTGATGAGAAGGATGAGGAGGAGGACCCAGGAGGAGGAGGACTGAGGACCGAGGAGGAAGAGGAGGAGGATGAAGAGGAGGAAGAGGACCCAGGAGGAGGAGGACTGAGGAGGAGGACTGAGGAGGATGGCTGAGGAGGATGACTGAGAGGGAAGAGGAGGAGGAGGAGGAGGAGGACTCAGGAGGAGGAGGAGGACTGAGGAGGACTGAGAAGGAGGAGGAGGAGGAGGAGGAGGACTGAATAGGAGGAGGAGGAGGGGGACTGGGGGAGGACTGAGGAGGAGGATGGAGGACTCAGGAGAAGGATGAGGAGGAGGACTGAGGAGGACTGAGGACTGAGGAGGAAGAGGAGGAGGATGAAGAGGAGGAGGAGGACCCAGGAGGAGGACCCAGGAGGAGTACTCAGGAGGAGGAGGAGGACTGGGGAGGAGAAGGACTGTTGAGGACTGATGAGGAGGACTGTGGACGAGGAGGAGGAGTAGGAGGAGGACTGAGGAGGGGAGGAGGAAGAGGACTGAGGAAGATCAGGAAGACCCAGGAGGAGGAGGAGGAGGACCCAGGAGGAGGAGGATGACTGAGGAGGACTGAGGAGGAGGACTGACGATGACTGAGAAGGAGGAGGACTGAGGAGTACTGAGGAGGATGGCTGAGGAGGATGGCTGGGGAGGATGGCTGAGGAGGATGACTGAGGAGGATGACTGAGAGGGAGGAGGAGGTCGGAGGAGGACTCAGGAGGTGGACTCAGAAGGAAGAGGAGGAGGACTCAGGAGGAGGACTCAGGAGGAGGACTTAGGAGAATTGAGAAGGAGGACTGAGGAGAATTGAGGAGGAGGAAGAGGAGGACTGAATAGGAGGAGGACAAGGAGGGGGACTGGGAGAGGACTGGGGAGGAGGAGGACTGATGAGAAGGATGAGGAGGAGGACCCAGGAGGAGGAGGACTGAGGACCGAGGAGGAAGAGGAGGAGGATGAAGAGGAGGAGGAGGACCCAGGAGGAGGAGGACTGAGGAGGAGGACTGAAGAGGACTGAGGAGGATGGCTGAGGAGGATGACTGAGAGGGAAGAGGAGGAGGAGGAGGAGGAGGAGGACTCAGGAGGAGGAGGAGGACTGAGGAGGACTGAGAAGGAGGAGGAGGAGGAGGAGGACTGAATAGGAGGAGGAGGAGGGGGACTGGGGGAGGACTGAGGAGGAAGATGGAGGACTGAGGAGAAGGATGAGGAGGAGGACTGAGGACTGAGGAGGAAGAGGAGGAGGATTAAGAGGAGGAGGAGGACCCAGCAGGAGGACCCAGGAGGAAGACTCAGGAGGAGGAGGAGGACTGGGGAGGAGAAGGACTGTTGAGGACTGATGAGGAGGACTGTGGACGAGGAGGAGGAGTAGGAGGAGGACTGAGGAGGGGAGGAGGAAGAGGACTGAGGAAGATCAGGAAGACCCAGGGGGAGGAGGAGGAAGAGTAGGAGGAGGAAGCATCTAAATGTTATTTCCATTTTTGTCCGTTTTTGTCCATTTTTGTCCGTTTATGTCCGCTCTATTTTTTGTCCGTTTTGAAAATATAGGGTACCGAACGGACAAAAAACATGATCCCCCTATAACAGCAAAAATTGAACATTTTATTTAGCAATTTAGGTGTCCATTAATGTCCGCCTATGTCCGCCTATGTCCGCCTATGTCCTTCTATGTCCTTCTATGTCCGTCTATGTCCGCCTATGTCCGCCTATGTCCGCCTATGTCCTGTCCTTTTTGGATTCTATGAGACAAGCGGACATAGACGGACGTGACACCCCCCCCTATAAAGTAGACCGATTTACTCGTATATGACAAATTTACGGGATTAGCAAATCAATAAATACACTTTAATGCTGGTGATGGTTTATTTGAAACTTGATTTGAAACTTGACAGTGCAGGTGACTCAATAATGAATATCCAATCCGGTATTACAGTTTCCACCAACGACCAATCAAACTAACCAATCACTGTCACGTGTCCAAACCAGTTCTAAAATGTAAACAAATAAAACTAATATCAATCAGTGACTTGATTAATATAATAAATAACTTAATTAATAAAAGTTTAATTTTTTACCTTTTGGGCTTCACCCGGTAATCTGAATTTTCCTAGAAAGTTTCTGAGTGCAGTGACGATATCCATCTTCTCGAACTCGAACAACTCAACAAACTTCGTTAAAACCATCAAGTTAAGTTCTTTGTGCTCACCGAGGTACTCGCCGATCTGAAAATATTTCCTTGTGTTTGGGAAAGTTTTAAAAGTATGTAAACGTTTTCTTTTGTTGTGGAATGTGAAGTGCATATTTAAAATTGTTCTTTCCACCATCAAAATGTTTTCACGCGTTTAAAAGAAAATACTTTTTTTCATTTTGACAATTAATATTCATTTCATTTTTATAGACCTGAATGAGCAACATATTGGAAAATAAGACCTCATATTTCATGTGAAAGAGTCATAACATGTTTGCTATAGATGATATATCGTTTTTGTTGGTGTTCAGGAGTGATATATTTGTCGAGAATTGAGATTACATATCGTTTTTATTGATGAAGGAGTATTAATATATTCGTTAAAATGACATCATAGTGGCCAGAGTCTGTATAATAAGCTGTTACGATGATGAACGAGTTACGATCGTGTAATACGAGCACTTATTTCAGCTATTAGTTCAAACATTATGTCACCACTCCACACAAATATCCAAAATATTTTACTGCATTTTTAAGTTGTTACATCGACAGTACCCTGTAACGTATTATGGGTGATGACCTTATAATTCTGTTATAATATTGATAGTAACACTACAAGATGTATTAATACATTTAAATTTGACAGCCACCAGTTAAGATCACTACCAATATTAATTAATATATAACGACAGTAGTAATAATATGCAAAAGTTATGTTATGCTGCCAATACTAATATATTACTTAATATTACTTATTTGACATTACAAATTATTGATCTCTGCCAAGAGTTACATAATGCTACCAACAATTGCAATTTATCTAGAGTTTACATTATCAGCGCGCTCAAAAGTAATATATTCATGCAACATATTATTGAAATATAAAAACTATATCTTATCCTTTTTGTCTAATTCTAAATTGGTTAAAATGCAATTCCAGCCTACACTGTTAAACTACCGCACATAATCCCGGAAGAATTTCCGAACAGGTACTAAGTGAATACATATAAAGGGCATATATAGATATAAACAAACATGATCTAATAAGATTGAGAAATGTTTGTTTAATCAGTACAGTGGATGGGTGTGTTTGTGTAGTTGGTACGTGTTTCTGTGTGTTTCAGCGAGGTATGTTATGGTATGTGCATAATAATACTGGTATGTGCATTATGATACTGGAGACTTGCTGGTATGTTAGATAACAGATATGAAGGGCACATTCTGAGATGTAGCAGTAATGTTTGATCACTGGAGGGCACTTTATCAAGTACAACAATTACAAATTCAGGAATCTATAAAACCTGGATACAATATAATATACGGAGATAGTAGATATCCACTAAACATAAGTGCAAAGCAGTTAAATGTGTGTTAACTGTATAACATGCAGTGTAACTGTGCAGCACATATATACCGGTTTAGTGTCTATATTGTGTGATTAGCGTGACTGCTGAACTTTACGCTGTAATACAAGGGATACAGTCTCTGTTAGGCCAGTTCCAGGGAATGTTATGCTATGTTTCTGGCGACTGCGAGTTTATGACTTGTAATCTAAAATTCCTATAGTACTGTAGTATTGGTGAATTATCAGCTTTAAATTTTGTGGTGGGTTGATATCCACATGCCACTGATAGAAAACGGAGGCCACTTTTCAAGATGCAACTGAATTTTCACCTCGATGGTTATAGTAAGAACATGGAAAATATTCTTATAAACATTCTTCACACCTTATAAACATTCTTCTCGCCTCATAAACATTCCTCTTACCTTTGTTTTGTGAAGACGTTCTCCCTTGTAGAGGAAGGAGGCGATATCTTCAGGAGTGTCATTCAGTAACCCAGCTGCTATCAGAAGCTCTATTCCCTTCTTGGGATCCACGTTAAACCTCTGTCGACCCTGGAGGATTAGCCAATTAGTTAATTAGACTATTAGTTAATTGATCAATCAAATTAAATACTGCAATAAAGATCTGTGGAATATACTGAGGCCTCTAATTGACACGTGACATCTCTCTGATGGACACGTGATATTTAGTTGGCACCCTGCCAGTACCTTATTTGGTATTGATATTGATCCAGCTTCCGATACAATACAAATCGCTAATAATTATAGTATTATCACCATATAAGGTAATGGCATGGTGCCAATTAAATGTCACATGTCAAAAAAAGTTATACGAGGAACGAACTGACTTTACACGTTATTTGTAATTGCAAGGCGAATACAACTGTCGGATGAGGAAGTAAGCCATCTTTAAAATCATTCTCCAGGCAATTAATAAATTAGCCTCTTATCTATCAATTAACTAATTATCAGTAATCAATTATCAACTAACCTGAACGTCGTCCAGAGTCTTAGTGTTATCGTTACGATTGTGTTCAGCGCTCGCGGCAGCAGCAGCTCCAGGGTGTCTCCCTTCGAACTGCGCTAACTCCTAAAATAGTAAGGGTCATTAAGATTAATTAACTAATTCCTAAATAGTAAGAGTCATTAAGTTATCATTGAGTAACTGATTTTTCTATGATACAGGGTGGGCCAAAAGTCAGTACCCATACGTTGGCCTTTATAGCTCAGTCACTGAGTGCCCAATTTAAATACTTCTTTCTGGTATGACTTAGTACCACCACTGGTTCGAGGAATTTGTCAACTCGAAAAATATTCGCGTTCATTTTTTTCAAATGGAGGTTCATTTTCACATTTATTTGGTAGTTTGGATAGTCGGATCAAGCTAAATGTTATTGAATTGTGTTTGGCCATTCGAATTACGTTTGTCCTGAAAGAATTAGAACTGTAGCTTCTCAGATGACCGAGATATGAAGCATAACGAGTTTATTCATGTTACGTGTGATCAGGTGATTGGTTTACCTAATCACGTGATAAGGTGACCCCGTTAACTACCTCGTGAAATATTATGGGAATTGTTAAGGGTGCCCAATTAAGGTGTCGTGTCACGGTGTCACATATTCACCCAGTCAATTTTGTTAACGAGATACAGAAAATGCTTGATAACTTCGTCATTTCTAATCCGTTTTGCCTCACGTTTTCAGATCATATGCAACATTTGATAATATACCGTCTCTGAAAAAATTAGGTGTTCAGCATGTTCAGAGGAAACAATATAGGTGTTTTAATATTGAATAGGCGTGGTCTAAAATATTCGAATTTTCAAATTTTGACGACTGAATCCTCGAACCAGTAAGTACAGTATGCCATCTGCAAAGCAACAGCTCTCAAATATAAAACACGGCGGAGCTATTAAGGCCAGAGGCACATATTAGGTGCGGTAAAAAATCGAAATTATGCGGTACCGCACCCGACTATAAAGGTAAAATGTGCGGTAAGGTGCGGTAAATTTTTACCAATTATGCGGCAAATGTGCGGCGATTTTTTCGAAATTTGTGCGGGAATTGTGCGGGTTTTTTTTGCATTTTCTCGAGGACTTTGGAAATTCTAAACGTATAACCGCCGCTCTTATCAAAAATAGGTCTGTTTATGTGTTACTGAGGGTGTAGTTCTTTACTAAGACCATGATTGAACCTATATTGAGATTCAGTTATCTGGGAACAGTGACTTGATCTGGTAGAGATCAGGAATCAGGATACAGTTATTTGAAGACGCCTCTTGATAGAGTCGATCAGATCCCATGCGTGATCGCAAATATGTGACACGCTTGTTGGCATTGATCGTCAGTATTTGTGAACCATTTGATCCAAGATCCATTAAGCCCACTATAAAGCCAACGCTGCAACGAATAAAGCTCATTACCCTTTACACCTACTTCTTCTATTATCACCTACGAATGATAACTGATACACTATAATCGAAGTACGGTAACGACGAGGGTTCCATAATGTCCTGGGTCACGGTCTCGAAAGGACCTGGATCACGGTCCCGAAAGGGCCTGGGTAACGGTCCCGAAAGGGCCTGGGTAACGGTCCCGAAAGGGCCTGGGTCACGGTCCCGAAAGGGCCTGGGTCACGGTCCCGAAAGGGCCTGAGTCACGTGGCCTAAGCATGAGTTCCAAAAGGGCCTGGGTCAGGGTCCCGAAAGGGCCTGGGTCTGGGTCCCGAAAGGGCCTGGGTCACAGTCCCGAAAGGGCCTCGGTCACGTGGTAACCGGGTCACGTGACCTAAGCATGAGTTCCAAAAGGGCCTGGGTCAGGGTCCCGAAAGGGCCTGAGTCACGTGGTAACTGGGTCACGTGGCCTAGGTATGAGTTCCAAAAGGGCCTGGGTCACGGTCCCGAAAGGGCCTGGGTCAGGGTCCCGAAAGGGCCTGGGCCAGGGTCCCGAAAGGGCCTGAGTCACGGTCCTAAAAGTGCCCAACTTTAACATATTTTGGTTTTACACTCGAAAATCTTAACGCAAAAATTTCAAAATTATGCGAAATTACGCGGAAAATGCTAGATTATGCGGAAATATGCAGATAATTACAAAATGTGCGGAAATGTGCGGAAAACAATAAATTATGCGGAAGTGTGCGGAAAACGGTAAATTGTGCGATCCCGCACCCATCGCACCTAATATGTGCCCATGATTAAGGCCAACGTATGGGTACTGACTTTTGGCCCACCCTGTATAAAATAAAATAACAAATCGAAGTAAAGTTTCTTTAACTAAGGGTATTTACTGCCGCCATATCTGCAGCAGGTTTGTCTCTGAAAAACTTGTCAGAAAGACAAAGTGAATAAGGCAATGTTTAGACAAAGACACGGTAAATCATGACTTCACTGTAAGTCATGACGTCACCGTAAATAATGACGTCACTGTACCTGATCTATCCTAGATAGCTCCTGATCAATAACACTAAGCTCTCTCTGTACCAACTCCTTCTTCCGCCGCACTTCTATTACCGCTCGTTTCTGAGAGAGAAAACAATAAGTTAGTTTGTAAAGAGGAGACAAATAATCGGACAAAATAAGAGGCTTATAGTTATAGTCATGGAGATCTGTCAAACACGGTTTTACTGGTTTTTACTTCCCAAGTGCAAGTTTCCTGTCACTCTATACAAACCCTTCTGCCCCACATAGGTTATAAAATACCATTTCTCTTCAGGGAAGAGACAATAACTTAGTTAGTAATACTTAGGGGAGGAGACAATAACTTAGTTGGTAAACACCACTCCTTTTTAAAGTTTGCGTAACATGCGCGGAACTATTTGTACAGCACTCCACTCCTAGTTTTGAAGTGCAGCTAGGTAAGGTTAATCCTACCTTGTACGGTACCGTTTGTAGTTTACTCTTCTCTTTTTAAAGAAGTTAGGTAACTTGTATGGTATAGTAATGGTCTTGAGATTTTGTTGCTGAACCTGAGTGTTCACTCGTGCACAATCATCTAACGACACGAGTATTGTTTCCGGAGTTAAACAGGATTTACAAATTTTACAAAATTTACAAAATTTACAAATTTTGTCTGCTGCCTAGCTAGTTTTATCAGAAAAAATGGGCGTCTCGTGCAGCAAATTCCAAAGATAAGCAACTGATTTTGGCAATGTTGGCAATGGTTCATTGTTGAGTATGTAAATTAAGCCTCCATGACATAAAGAATAGCGGTTGAAAAGGAGGACTGTTACAATAGATTTGATGGGATTATCGGCGTCAGATTACAAATAATTCATTGACACAAGATATAATCAAGTACTTACTGACAGCGGAAATAGGGGTATTGTGTTGCAAAATGTTACACTCTACAACTAACTTGATAATTTAACAATTTAAAGACGGATAGAATTGCTTTTAAACTTTCAATTTCCTTCTGTTGAAATTCTAGCACTATGCATTGCAGTTGTAAATTGTAGTATAGATTACATAGTGTCGAAATATAGTGTCGACACTCGAAGTAAGTCTCGATTGTTGACTATGAAGAATGTATTGTGTGGTATGGAAGTAGTAATGTATCGAAAAAAAGATAAAGCAGAAAGATTCGTTTCATGATTGGATAAGTTAAGATAAGAATATAATGATATCAAAAGTTACGCAACTGAGTAATCGAAACATAATCGAGAGCAGTTCAAAAATTCAATGAACTATTTAAAATGCTGAGAAAGATTAGACATTAGACCAGTAATACGATAACAAAGATAATAATACGTTAAGTTTAACAAACTTGAGTTAGTAAACTTAACAAACTTACATTAAGTTAGTAAACTCAACAAACTCCAACAAACTCTCTACAAATACCTCGCTTCTTACCAACAACAAATCAACATTCAACAACTAGCAACGCGCAGAGTAACACTCGTAATACAAAACGTAACAAATTAAACAGAAACTCACGCAACCAAACCAGAAAGAACTCCCAAGAAAAATGAGAAACCCCTCAACAATGCAGTACACCCAGTAAAGTGACGTGTGCGTGTACGGAAGATGTTAACACTCGTTATTACGCAGATGATATGACAAATATGTGTGTTATTTCGTAATATCACTCACCAGGTTAAGACGGTGGGTTAAAGGTGAGGCTTTACTGTGGAATGTGGGTTTGGTGATTTAATATGTGGGTTTGTTACAGTGGTTACTGTGTTTAGGTTACTGTGGTTACTGTATCTAGGTTACTGTAAAGCTGTAACCAGGTTTCAGTTACCAGTTGCTAGGTTACAGTTACTAGTTGCTAGGTTACAGTTACCAGTTGCTAGGTTACAGTTGCCAGTTGCTTGGTTACGAGGTTACAGTAACCAGTGCCTAGGTTACAGTTACCAGTTGCTAGGTAACAGTTACCAGTTGCTAGGTTACAGTTAGCAGTTGCTAGGTTACAGTTACTAGTTGCTAGGTTACAGTAACTAGTAGCTAGGTTTCAGTTACCAGTTGCTAGGTTACAGTTACCAGTGCAGTTGCTAGGTTACAGTTACCAGTTGCTAGGTTACAGTTACCAGTTGCTAGGTTACAGTTACCAGTTGCTAGGTTACAGTTACCAGTTGCTAGGTTACAGTTACCAGTTGCTAGGTTACAGTTACCAGTTGCTAGGTTACAGTTGCTTAGTTGCTAGGTTACAGTAACTAGTAGCTAGGTTTCAATTACCAGTTGCTAGGTTACAGTTACCAGTTGCTAGGTTACAGTTACCAGTTGCTCGGTTACAGTTACTAGTTGCTAGGTTACAGTTGCCAGTTGCTTGGTTACGAGGTTACAGTAACCAGTGCCTAGGTTACAGTTACCAGTTGCTAGGTAACAGTTACCAGTTGCTAGGTTACAGTTGCTAGGATACAATAACTAGTGGGTTACACGGGTTCATTATCAGTGATGGAGAACTATGGAATGTTGTGTATCAGTGACATAACATCCTGCTAAAACACCTGACCAACCCAAAAATGTACATACCTTTCATGCCTTTCATATAACGAATCTATTAGACTGCTTACGAGCTTCAATATAATACCGATATTATCTTCTTTAACATATCAACCAACATATTATTGTAATTAGCAAATGATTTGTCTTCAACAAAATTGTGAAATTTATGATATTGAGTAATGAGTATTAGATTGTAATTGTATAGAAAGAAATAAACTGGCATGGTATGTAAACTATGCATATGCCTTACATTACCTAATGTTGTAGTTATGACGTCATATCCTACTAGACCAGCCCAGTCCACTAAAATATTAACATGCCTGTATGGAATTAAGGCTTCCTGTTAGGCTCATTTGAAGGTCAAATACCTCATAACGGTGACCACACACAAATGGAGGAGAAAAATAGCATTGGACTAAAAAGGTGAGCGCTAAAGTGACGTTATGTATCCTAGTTGACATGGATCTGGAGTTTTTCTTTTAGAAATGACATAATAGTGACAAATGATGGTACTGTTAGTGACAAATGGTAGCAATGTTGTAGACACAGTTATACTCCTCAGACATGACACAGTTTGGGGGGGGGGGGGGGGGGGGGGGGTACCAATGGCATAGAATGGAGACAAATGGCATAAAATTCATCAAATGGCATAGAAATTTCATGGCATAAATGGAAATTTTGTTTGGCCAATTCTCCATTTATGCCAATTTATGCCATGAATTTAGGTCTTCATATTTGACCTTTAGGATGACTTTAAATTCGCAAATATTATTAGTACTTGAATAAGAGACATGTTTCATGCTTTATAACGCTTGGAATGATCGTTAAAGTCAAAGATTCATATGACAAATAAAGAAAATAGAAATGTATTATATCAAATATATACCAAACATTTCACTATTCAAGAAAAGCAAATTGTGAGATGTTCAAAATGTACAGAATACAAACATTGACAACACAACGATTTTGAATGTCATCAAGGAACAATGCATCTGATGTATTTGTCTTCGACGAGTAGCCAAACATTAGGAGATCCATTGATTAGGCTATGTTCCTGGCAGTAGTACTTCATGGGGCATGACTTATAAGAAATAAATCTAACCACTCCTGTTGCAAAGTCCTGCTGAGATTTGAAGACTTTAAGAGTTTCTGTACTGCCAGCTTTCAAAACTGTTGAACATCCGCATTCAGATTGATTGTATATGCGAACATCAGAAGACACTCCAAACGCGTCCCCCTTGAATCTTGAAAGACGAGATTTTGTTGATAAAGTGCTTCTTCCTCCATTGAGCGTGAGTGTCTCAAAAGACCGGAAGGATAGTGTTCCATATTTATCTGTTGATATCGTTTCTCCATCATCACAATCATCAACTCCAGGTTCTACCTCATAAGCTAAGTCGTCCTCATCCTCGAGGCATCCAGCTTCATCATCTACAGCTTCCCAAGAAAGTTCTTGGCCATGGACGATTGGCTTCCCACTCTGTTCTTCAGGATCTGCGACTGCGGCGAACACAGGGAAATTGTTTCTTTTCCCTTCTCGAATGCAGTCCCTCGATGCCCTGTCCAGCGTTTTTGCCAACTTGCCTAGGCTTATCATACCACCAGTCCATTTCACTCGTTCTGCTTTCTGGCCTGTAGATTTAACCTTTTTGAGGTGAACTGTAGGATGCAAAACTGTACTTCCACGTGCATGTGCAATTGCAGATGTGTCTTCATGTAATGATAAAGCACTGTACACATTCTTTCTCTCCATTCCATGGGCCATAGTTATCGCATCCATATTTCTTGAGCGACCAGATGAAAAAGAAACCCGAATAAATGCAAACAGCTGCTCATTCTGATCACTTCCAAGGTAATAAGTGACGATTTCAGCATTAGGGAATTGCTTCTTCAGCAGAGTTAAATACAAAATAAGACCGTCACAAGTACATATAAGATCAAGGTACGTCTGATTCGTTATGCTGACAGCTGAGTAAGTATTCTCTTTCCAAGTAACGAAAAATGTTTTTTCTCAAACAGTTCCATTTTTATTATACTTTATAGTTTAGAGTCTAATTTGGCATGATATCAGATCATGTGATATTACATGGCCCCATGGAGAGCATTGCCAGAGCAATTGGCCAGAGAGCTCCATAGAAGTAAGGGGCCTACTCTAGCCAACAGCTCTAATACATTTCCTTCCTCAACTTCATTTTCTTCATCTAACTGCTGCTGCTGCTCAGCAACTACTTGATAGCTGGCACAGTGACAATTGTCTGCGTAGTGTATCTGTTAGCCTCAATTTTGCCTCAAGGAGGGAAGGTAGCCTCAATCCAACCTCACATAAGTTTCGATAAAGTCTCAATAACCTTCGGGCTACAGTTACAAGTTTTATAGTGGGTCTATAATAATAATAATAATAAAATTTGGTAGCTTAAACACAAACTCTAAGCCCAGTGGATAAACCACAAAACTTATGCTCTATTGTGTGAAACAAAGATACTAGTTTCCGTACACTAAAGTTACAACTTAAAATGCGGTCGAATCATTTATTAGCCTCATTTTGGCCTCCTACAAGAAGACTCTGCGATTTCTGA